CTATCCTCGCTCTCCACACTCTAACATTTCACCCCCCTTTCTGACTTTCAACCACCAGCACACTGACCCACCCTGACCACTGATCTGATCCCACACCCTGATCTTTCTGACATAGCAGAGCTTATTTAGGAAAAATGTAAGTAAACTCCAAACATCAAACCAGATGTATGCTTTAATTTTAAACCTGCATTACATAACAGCTGCTAAATTCACTTTCCTCTCCTCCATGTTTTATTGAGCAGCCTCATTGTTATATATGTACGGTATTTTCACATTTTGGCTTAATGATTAAACAGTGTAAAAAAAAAAAGTGCCCATTCAAGAACGGGCAAGGTTGGGAGGGAGGTCTTAGTGGACCACCTACACATTCATTGTTCATGAAGCTCTCCCTTGCTATAGCTTGTAAGTAGTGTCAGCAGTGAACACCTGTGACCCTTCCTGTTCAACCTGCAGTAAGATATGCTGTATGCTCCTCCTACTTCCTCTTACGTGTCAACTGGCCAAGGAATTAAGGAGGTGAATGCCACTGGGCAGTCCTTACAGGCATCATGGGATACAGATGACAAATATAGTTAAAGATGCTTGCCATAGCTTTCCTCAGTTAGGGAAAACACATAAATGCAGGGAGACATGGATGAAGGAAACACAAGCTGTCAGACACAAGGCAGAAAGGTACAAACAAAGGTAAACCGAAGGACAGCAAAACACATAAAGAAGAAGCATAAGCAGAGAAACAAAATAGTATGTTGAAAAATTATGAAAGGCACAGGGATACAAGCAGCCACAACAGAAAGAAAAAAAAGTGAAATTACATATAAGGCGGAAAAGGAGACAAAAAGGAATAAAAACAATAAAGATTGGGATACTAAAAAACATGAGCATATTGCTATAATTTAGAGAAAAGGAAATTGAACTAAACATTATAAGTTTACTGCAGATTTTTTTTAAATGTATTGGTTGGGGTAACAAACTTTTGCTATATGGCTCGGTGATTTCTAGTAACACCCGTGAGAAAGACCTTCTACTGTTGTTCATACCAGTTCTACTTTTGCCTCTCTACAACTAGTTAAATATGTTTGAATAACTTACAATAACAAGCTTTGCAACTCCTGTAATTAAATGCCTGCTTGATTTAATTTCACTTGCCCACATATCACTTAGCTCATCTAGCGTGGAAATATTAATGGTCTGTAAACTTGTGCTGCAGAACTGTATGCAATAGTTGAGTTATATTGTTTGTGTTTCATTTCACTGATGGTGTAGTGCTATCAGGGGAGGGAGAGGCAGTATCAATTATTTTTCAGTCTTTGCTCTGCACAGCTGATGGCTTAAATTGACATAACTCCACTTGGCTCGAATCAACATAGTCAAGCTAATTACTTGTGATTGTCTTGAATAGTGTAATGATAATACATACAATCCAGCCAGTAAAAGCTGTTATATATCTATATATATATATCTATATATATATATAGATATACACATACATACACGCACTATATTGCCAAAAGTATTGGGGCACCCCTCTAAATCATTGGATTCAGGAGTTCCAATCACCTCCATGGCCACAGGTGTATAAAATCAAGCACCTAGGCATGCAGACTGCTTCTACAAACATGTATGAAAGAATAGGTCGCTCTCAGGAGCTCAGTGAATTCAAACGTGGTACTGCCACCTCTGCAAAAAGTCCATCCGTGAAATTGTTTGCTACTAAATATTCCACGGTCACCTGTTAGTGGTATTATAATAAAGAGGAAGCAACCGGGAACAACAGCAACTCAGACACGAAGTAGTAGGCCACGCAAAATGACAGAGCGGGGTCAGCACATGCTGAAGCGCACAGTGCGAAGAAGTCGCCAAATGTCTGCAGAGTCAATAGCTACAGACCTCCAAACTTCGTGTGGCCTTCAGATTGGCACAACAACAGTGCTTAGAGAGCTTCATGGAATGGGTTTCTATGGCCGAGCAGTTGCATCCAAGCCTTACATCACCAAGTGCAATGCAAAGCGTCAGGTGCAGTGGTGTAAAGCACGCCACCACTGGACTCTAGAGAAGTGGTGATGTGTTTTTTTCTCGAGTGACGAATCACGCTTGTCTGGCAATCCGATGGACGTGCCTGGGCTTGGCGGGTTGCCAGGAGAACGGTACTTGCCTGACTGCATTGTGCTAACTGGTAAGTGTAAAGTTTCGTGAAGGGGGGGTTATGGTGTGGGGTTGTTTTTCAGGGGTTGGGCTTGGCCTCTTAGTTCCAGTGAAGGGAACTCTTAAGGCATCAGAATACCAAGACATTTTGGACAATTTCATGCTCCCAACTTTGTGGGAACAGTTTGGAGATGGCCACCTCCTGTTCCAACATGACTGTGCACCAGTGCACAAAGTAAGGTCCATAGAGACATGGATGGGCGAGTTTGGGGTGGATGACCTTTACTGGCCTGCACAGTGTCCTGACCACAACCCGATAGAACACCTTTGGGATGAATTAGAGCGGAGACATGCAAGCCAGGCCTTCTTGTCCAACATCAGTACCTGACTTCACAAATGCACTTCTGGAAGAATGGTCAAACATTCCCATAGACACACTCCTAAACCTTGTGGACAGCCTTCCCAGAAGAATTGAAGCCGTTATAGCGGAAAAGGGTGGGCCAACTCAATATTGAGCCCTACGGACTAAGACTGGGATGCCATTAAAGTTCATGTGCCTGTAAAGGCAGGTGTCCCAATACTTTTGGAAATATACGGGTCTATTCACTAAGCTGCCGAGGGCATCCGAGTGAACAACTGACCCCCAAGTGAAGTGAGCCAAACACTATTCTGAAATCAGCCGTACATCGGCTTGCTTCACAGGGCTTCGGGTCGGCCGAACATGCTCATTAATATATTCAAAATAAATGAAGATTTAGGGGGAAAAGAAAAAGAAAACTGGGTATAAAACAGCATTTGAGGGAATTAAAACCTTTTGTTTCTGCCCTGACACTTGATAAGTCATACAGCTGATAGCTGACATTTATTTGTCACCAAACCCAATATACAGGTGAAACTCGAATAATTAGAATATCGTGCAAAAGTAATTGCAGTAAGTGCTGCAAAAGGTGCCCAAACCAAGTACTGAGTACATATGCATGCTTGTACTTTTCAGAGGTCCGATATTGTTCTATGTACAATCCTTGTTTTATTGATTGCATGTAATAATCTACTTTTTTGAGGTTGTGGATTTGGGGTTCTTGGGGTTTTCATGAGCTGTAAGCCATAATCATCACAATTATGACAAATCACGGCTTGAATTATCTTGCTTTGCATGTAATGAGTCTATCTCATATATTAGTTTCACCTTTTAAGTTGCATTAGTGAAATAAATGAACTTTGCACGATATTCTAATTATTCGAGTTTCACCTGTATACCCATTGAACTCCAATCCCAATCACCACACTTTTGTTACTGTTACTGAGTTGATTTACTAAAGGAAAATAAGTGGTTCTCTTTGCAAGGGAACTTGCACTTTTCAATGGAAATTTTCCCTTTGCTTAGTGAATGAGGTGAAGCTTTGCAATAATATTCAAGCAAAAATATTGTTTTTTTTTTCCTTGCTCCTGATTGGGTATTGTTTGCAAACTGAATTTTCATCATATTTACTAAGCTAATAGATAATTCCCTTTCAAATTGAACAGCCTATTTGCCTTTAGTGAATCAATCACTGAGGCTCCAGGTATGGCATATAAGCGAAAATATCAGGCTAAGTAGATTACTGAAAGCACTTAGGCTTAGGTACTGGAGCTTAGGCTGTCCTAATATTATAATGTCTTTATTGTTTATATGGTGAATTTGCTTACTACTTGTACCCATAACTGGCAAACTATAACCTGTTCCTATAGAAATGAGTAAAATCTGATCTGTGCGTTCTGTAGTCACAAGAAAATACAGCTGTCAAAGTTTTAACTTACAAATGCATACTATGGATTTTAGGGTTGCACAGATATTTTTCGAGTACCAATGCCGATACTTAGCATTTTCATGAGAACTAACAGGGTTGCAGCGGTTGCAGCTGGGACCTGGCTCTGGCATTCCACCACTATCCTGAAATCATTAGTCTGTATTGTTTTAGAAAAACTGTCACATGACAATAAACAAAAATGTATCAGTACTCGTACTTGTAAGTACTCGGCAAGTACCAGTACTCGTACTCGCAAAACTGGTATCTGTGCATCCCTTTTATTTATATTTATAAAAACAAAATCGTGCATTAAAACAGAGATGTACAAATCCCATGAGCTCCGTGTGCTCCTTACAAATGACAGCTGCCACCCAATTTTTGAATTTTTCTCTAGTGTAGTCTTGGAGCTCAAAAGTATCGGGACATGTACTCATACTTGTACCGAGTACTGTACTTGGTATCTGTGCAACCCTAATGGATTTGATCATTCGGGATGTCTGAATGCCCATAGGAAGTATATCTCCTAATACAGTACAAGCCTGATGAAATGGACAAGAACAGATCTTTGCGCTAATTTGCTAAATACGCCATCTACATAGCAAAGATATTGTCCAGTGTTGGGACTTGAGTATGGAGGATCCACTAATACATTATGTAATTAGGCCCCAGCATGGGATTAAACAAAAATATACCGTATATACTGTGTACAAACAACATTTTACATCATAAATACAGATAGTAAAGGGATGCACAGGGGTTCAAACAGTGCCACATCTTAATGTCAACAGTTAAGGGAGAACAGCAAAACTGACTTTTTAGGCACCACCATTACCAAAAGGTCATGGTGGTGCCTAAAAAGTCTGTTTTGCTGTTCTCTCTTAACCATCATAAATAAAGACTCCACACCCCATTCTGATATATCAATAAAGTAAAAACCAATATTTCTGTTTCCTATTTTTTTGTGTCATTGGTCTAACATCGAAGGGTCTTGTGGTAGATACAGTGACTAGCCCCACAAGGTGTTTGTCCCTACCTTAAATATACATAGTTTAAATTCCAATAAATTCTCACCTCTGATGCTTTGGTATTATCACCAACATCAGTAATCTTCACAGGTGTAGATCGCTGGGACACTGCCCCTTCATCCTCTTTATCTGTTCCAGAGTCATCATCAGAGCTACTAGATACAGCTTCCTCACTTGGGGGAGGAGGAGCACTTGCAGCAGTTTTCCGCTGTAATACAGTCTCTTCACGATATGTCTTGTTACTGCAAAATGAAAATTATATTAAGCCAATGGAAAGCTCAGTCAATCATGTTAAGCAAAATACATCCTCCTTCAAAATGATTTACATGCGTCAGTGTAGTAACATGGAAGGGTCTCCATATTTTACCAAAACTGGGAATTCAATTAGACACTTCTCTTAGGGCCATGTAAGGTAGGTGATTCCATGGCCAGTGACAATTGATTAAAATCACTGAAATTCAACTTCCATTATAAATCTATTGCTGGCAAGGAGTCCACGATACCAGAATCCCCTGTCTGACATTGGCCTTAATGTTAAAATTTAGTATCATAGCCCACTTGTTCAATTTTACTTACTCATTATAAAAGAGCCATTATAAGTGGCTGAATAAAAACAAAGACACGGTTGTGTCTGTCAAGATGACTGTGGATGGTTGGGATGCTGGCAGGGGCAAATTAAACATTAGACATATAGTATGCAGAAATAATGTAGGTGATGTCTTGTCAAGTTCCTTCAAATAAAGACAACTTTAAAAAAACAAAAAAAACACAAAGTCCTGTTATGTGCAAAGATGAAATCAGTTTTATATACCTGTCTATCCTAAGTGTATTATTTATTATATGTATTTATATAGCACCAACAATTTACACAGTGCTTGATAATATATCAGTCTACTCTAAAGATGATACCTTACTGGTTGCTAATTTATCATAAATTACTAAATAATATTGCTCCTTCTGCAAGATCATCTGCAATTTATGTTTAATTCACTTAACGCTCATCTATAGGCACAAAGGTCAACCTTCAAAGTATTTACAAATCAATGACAGGCTGACAGGAGATGCAGCTGTTTAAACTTATCTGCACATCCATCGGTTACATGTGGTTAGGGACAGATGAGCGACCCTGAAGAGAAACGATCTATGTCCAGGGACGGTCATCTGTCCCTAATTGCATGTAACCGCTGGATGTGCAGATGCATAAGAACAGCCGTAGACAGCTGCTGAGACTGTCAGCTTGTCATTCATTTGTACAGGCTGAGCGGCCACAGCTGCCTGCAACCAGCTGTGATCCCAGCCACATAAATCCACTGATTTGTGTCGCATTTTGGTCCTCGTAGGAGATGGTAAGTCCTTCTGCACTCCTCACAGCGTTCCCGGCCCAAGCAGTAATAGTGGTGCTCGCAGTGACAATCACGGATGGCGCCGTGCAAATCAACAGTCAAAAGTCGTCACAGACAAAACCCAGTTGTCTGTGACGACTGGTCCGATTAAATGGACATCAACGGTATTTATTGAGTGCTGGTGATTTCTGCTTTTCGCATTTTGTTCCTCATCACCCATGTGAATGAAGTCTTAATATGGGGATGACATTTTCAGACAAAATGCTCATCTAGCTACATTGCATGGCATTTTCTGTAAGTACTTTTCTTTTATGCTTATCATCATATCACCCTATCATCAATAATAAATTACAAACGTAAAGCACAACGCAACAACATACATGTACTTTATACTATGTTTAGTCACATTTAAATAGATCTAAAAAAAACAACACATATATCTTATAATTCAATTACAGGTCAGCTATATGGCATACTGCAGGTGATATAAAGTGATTGATTGTTTGGCTAAGAGAGGCTTAACATTTATTCAGAGGTTCTTTGACCTTCACAGGAATTGCCATAAATGTCATAACAACTCCAAACAGAATAGACATATCTGATATTACAAATGCAATTATAACAGGATTTTTACTGCCTCTCACTTCCTACACAAAAATCTTTTGCTCTACCTATTTTATGTATGTATTATGGACTGCTATGCGAAAAGGTGACCCATGAAATGTACATAGAATGACTCTTTTAAACAAACTGTATATGCTTGATAGAAAAAAAATTGGACTGAATTAATATAAACTGCATTACTGAGATTTGTATTATTATTAACTTAATTTCAACGTTAATTGCAATCTGCAGTCACCTATGATTTTCTAAAACAGCTGAAAATGTCACATTTCTTTTCCATGTTACCATGGCATTGTGTGCAGGACTTCCCAGATATAATTTGAGTGAGGGGCCCAATTCCAGGTTAATAATAAAAAGCAGCTACATAATCTGGCATTTTTTTTAAAGAAGAACTCCAGGCAAAAAAAATATTAAGTGCTTGTTTTGTCCTGGGAGCTAAAATAACAGTTATACTCAACCAAACCGCAATCCCGGCTGGCTTCCTGACCGGTCCCTAATTTGGAAATGAATAGTTTCCCCAACTCAAAAAACCAAATTCACTGTTAGAATTTTGTCTTGTTAAGAAAAGAAATCTCCATCCTGCTCCTTTCATTCTTTTTGTCATTACGATCATTAAAATTACTCCATTAAGTATTAGAAAATCGAAAGAATGTTCCAAAAGCAACCATTTGCGAACAAAATTTAGACTGTGTATACCCAGCTTATAGTCTATAGTCTTTATTTTAGCCCCTAGGACAAGCAAGCACTTAACCCTTGCAGTGCAGAGGTAGCCCTACTGCAAGGGTTCATTTTTACATTTCCTGGGGTTCCTTAAGTCAGCCACACATGTTACTGATTGCAGGGCTGGATTCCTCACAAGGCCACTGAGGCAAGGCCTCAGGGCGGCAGAGGGTGCAGGGGCGGGTGCAAAAGTCCAAACGACCCGATCGGCGACCAGTAATGTCCACAAGTCCCGACCAGCAAAAAACTTACCATCTCACAATTGTGACATCCTAAAACCTACTATTACATCCTAATTAGTTTACTCACAGTTTTGTATATCACTCCAGACCCTCCATTCAGTCACAGGTGCTTTTGGGTTCCATCACTAGTGATGAGCCTGGTCTTGGTGCGAACCAAGACCAGGCTCATCACTATCCGTTACCCCCTTCAGCATATGCAAGGCCGCACTCTGTTCTGCAGAACAGCTATGGGAGTATGTGCTATGGGAGTATGGTATCCTAATATTGAATGTCATGACACAATAGTCATTTTAACATTGTACTACATAAGATTAGGGAGTTGTTTTTATGTTATTAAATCTTTTGGGGTGTTGCTTATTTTGTTCAAAGCTACAGCATCAATCACTTTCAGCTTTCCTGGTTTTACTGAGGTTCTGCAGCATCCTTTCACAGCTCTCTATAAAAATTGAGAACGTCCTCACTTCCCCTCTAGAAGCAGAACAACTCTTGCCTTTACTTAATAAAAACATGTAAGAGGGGCTATGCCACTGACATAAATGTATTTGTACTGCCCTGCTAATGCTTATATAATGATTTCAAAGACTTTGCAGGAACCCATTTAGCTGCAGGCATATCACATCCTAAATCGCTAAACTTTCTGAAAACTTCCTATTAACTAATTTCTCATACACTCATTTGTTTTATTTCTGTTTTGTTTTTTAACAGATATTGTAGTTCTCATTTTGCAGGGTCAATCACTGGTCTAGAAGACGGCTTTCGGATGTAACTAAATCTTTATATGCTAGACAAAAAAAACAAAAAAAGGTTGGTTACCTGAGACAACTTCACAGTAAATGTGAAAATGTAATGTAATTATGCTGAGTACACTGCAGTGTACTTTGCGTTTTTATGGCTTGCAGAAAATGTTCAGAGCTTTAGTACGGTAACACTGCATACTCAGGCTATATTATCCAATCAAAAATGAGTTAATGAATAAAATAATAATTCTGATCAATACACCTGCTACCGGCCATTGACTTTTAAATAATGACTGTTAGAAACATTTCTCATTTAACCACTTCGATCCCCGGAACTTTTTCTCTCTTAATCCTAGAGCTTTATTTTTTTCTAATTCCAGCAAGGTCTCAGTTTCATTTTACCTTTTCCTTTTTTGTAATCTACCCTAAAGAATTATACATAGTTTTGTTTAACCATAGACAGTGCTTTAATCTGGCAGCAAATTTGCATAGATTTGTTTTTTATTTCCCTAATTTTTATTGGGAATAAATTGTAAAAAAAATACATAATATGCATTTTCCTATACATTTTCCCCAATGCAACATTTATATATAATATGCACCCCCACATATTTCTCCCAAAATATAATCAACAAAGCCCATTGATTAAAATAATATCACATTAGTGTGATTTACATGTAATGTGGCAGAATGGTAAGGATCATATGCATTTACTCTAGTAGAGCATTATTACCCTTTCAATGCTAAATTGATTGACATAACATTAAGATAAGATAAAGCTGGGTTAAGAAGGGCAGAAATTAGCACAATGGTGACTATTTGACAGGTTTGCAATTGCTAAAGATTTACATGACATTGTGTTTGTCCCCCTTTCTCTGTCAGTGATACCCAATGCAGGATAACACTTCTGTTGGCTCCAAAGGGGTGATCTACAGTAAAAGAACTAATGGGTCTCCCTGTGTTTCCTCTGTAAGAACCCTCTATAATGGATCCACAGCACACCTTGATTCTAGGGTCGGTTGCTATGGGTTACCGCAACTTCAAAATCTTCTTGTCTAGGTTACCCTCACTTTTCTCATCAGCACTTACCGCCCTCTATGGTGATCAATTAAAGCGATGTCCAGACTGTAGATATGATGCTGAGAACTTTATTGTAGAACTTTAGGGAGAGAGGTAGAGGGTTAGGATCATCCAGGCAGATGTAGACTCCATGATATGGCAGAGTGTGGTCACTGTCTCATTGCACATGAGGTAGCGCACCTGACGCAGGTAGAAATCACTAGTCATCAGTAATAACTACTGGACCTGCAGCTATCAAGCTCCAGGGTCATTACATGGCTAGGCCTGAAGCCTGGGGACTAGCAATGACTCTCAGACAGTCCATAGCAGCCTCCCCACAGGCAGGGCCTGAGAGAGGAAGAGACAGCTCACATGGTCCACACCAAGTATTTATCTCCTCCTCCAGCATGCACCACTGGCCATCGTCTCACAGTGATCGGCTGGAGAGGGATATCTACTTATAGCAATCCCACATTGGTTGCTCTGCGGCCAGGGTACACCCAGCAGCAGACAGATG